TGTTGTTGTTATGTGCCATTGAGTTGCTTGCGACTCATAGTGACCCTATCTATGTACAACAGCCCTAAACCCTGCTCTGTCCTGTGCCTCTGACACACCCATCCTGATTACCCCAGTCACTGAATCAATCCACCTCATAGAGGGTCTTCCCCTTTTGGGCAATCCCTCCTCCCTCCCTAGCATGATGTCCCTCTCCAAGGACCTGTTCCTCCTTACAACATGTCCAAAGTATATCAGACAAAGACCCAGAATCCTTGCCTCCAAGGAGCAGCCTGGTTTAACCCTCTCCAGAATGAATCTGTTTGTTTTCTTGGCAGTCCATGGCACATTCAATACCCTTCTCCAGCACTACAGCTCAAAGGCATCAATTCTCCTTCTATCCTCTTTAGTCATCGTCCAACTTTCTGATGTATAACAAGTGATTGCAAAGACCATGGCCTGGATCAGACACACCTTGGTCTCCAGAGTGACACCATTGCTCTTCAGTACCCTGGAGAGTTCCCTAACAGCAGACTTTTCCATGGCAATATGTTTTTTTATTTCCTGGCTACTGATGCCAAGAGTATTGACTGTGGAACCAAGCAAACTAAAGCTGTGAACAATCTCAATCTCTCCACCATCCATCCTGATGCTGCCAATTGGTCCAGTGGTGAGAATCTTTGTCTTCTTGATCTTGAGCCTCAATCCATATTGAAGGCTGCAGTCCTTGACCCTCTGCAGCAAGCATTTCAGGTTCTCCTCAGTTTCAGCAAGCAGGGTTGTGTCATCTGCATAACACAGATTCTTACTCGATCTTCGACCAATCCTGATGCCACAATTCTCCTCATGGAGCCCAGCCTCTCGGATAATCTGCTCTGCATACAAGTTGAAAAGATACAGAGATAGGCCACATCCCTGGCGTATGCCCTTCCCAATTTTGAACCATGCAGTGTTTCTTTGCTCTCTTCTGACTGCTTCTTGGTCCAGTATAGGTTTCGCATTAGAACGATCAAGTGTCTCAGACCAGATGTTAGCTGTTGCACTTCTCCCTGAGGTGAGGAATGTGTGGTGACTGAGTGGCCTGTGCTCCTTTTGCTAGTGGGGTGATGAGTGGTCTGAAAGCCATCTACTCCGGAATTTATAGAACGATCAAGTGTTCTGGGATTCCCATTCTTAGAGTCAGCCACCATTTGTTATGATCCACACAGTCAAACGCCTTTGCATAATCGATGAAACACAGATAGACATTCTTTTAGTATTCCCTTCTTTCAGCTAAGATCCATCTAACATCAGCGACTATATCCCTAGTACCACAACCCCTTCTAAACCCAGCCTGGACTTTTGGCAGTTCTCTGCTGATGTGCTGTTCCTGTTGTTTTTGGATAATCTTCAGTAGAATTTTGCTTGCATGTGAAATCAATGATATTGTTCTATAATT